GTGTATAGATAATGGATGGATGGGTCATGTCTGCTGTTGCCCTTTTTGTCCACACATCACCAAAGGACCAATGAGGACCTCAAAAAAGGACGGCCCCTACACTGGCCACCACTTATCAAAACGACTTCAAATGTGACCCGGCGCCACATCTGCCAAGTTTGACATAGATCGGATGAACGCGTGTCAAGAAAAGCAAAGAACAGACTCCTTCATTTAGAGTTTGATATTATGTGATGAGGGCCTATCGAGTCTTTGTTTTGAAATGAAAAACAAAGCAGGGTTTGGTAGCCCCCTTTCTCCTCCTCATTACTATCCAATTACAACTACAAAAAATATACCGAAAAGAATAAGATTAGTGAAGAATAACTGTACCATCAGTGCACTGGGTTCTTTCCGCCACAAAGCATAATCAGATGTGTCGAATATAAGCATTAGAACTATTTCAGAGGTGAGAAAAAGGACTCTTATTCTGCTGAGGTTTCTGTGTCACTGGTGTAGTCTTCAGACACATGCAGGGTTTCATGTATTGTGAATATGATACTGACTATACGACTTAAGTGACACAGCACAGCTTCTGGTTGCCCTGAAGTCGCACAGGTTGACTGTTGATTATCACAACCTCTTTGAGATCGACTTCAGACTGATTGGAGGTTAACTCAGCAGTGTAGGGTTATCCAGCCTAATTTTGCAGGGATTTTTTTAAGTCGGGTCTTTGGTATAACTTCAAGTGTCTGTCTTCTGGAGTCATTAACGTGATGATTGTTTGAACCCACTGTTACACAGAGTGGAACTTTGATGATATTATACCTGTGTCCCTGTCTGAAATAAAGGATTGTTGTCGGCAGCTGACCAATACTAATGCAATTTCCCCTCTTGTCATTGAAGTCCAGAGAAAAATGCATTCACTTCCCCCTCAACCACAAATCCAGTCACGTACACTGGCCCGGGCACAAGGTCCAAGAAAACATTACGCCGCCATCGACCTAATCAGATTTGCTTCTTGCTCATATCAGAGCAATTTCCCGCCAAACAGTTTAGTGAATTTGCAAAGTACGGAACATGATCCTCTAATTTATGGTGTATATATGGTCCTGTTTCCAGGAACAATGTTGCATTTTTAGAAGATAACTCTTAGGAAGCCCAAAAAGCTGACAGACATCACCTTGGTAGAGAGCAAACAGGGCTTGCAGCATGAATGTGACATTGCAAAATTCAGTTGTCATCACAACAAACATGGTTTTGTTTATCACAGGACCCCAAAAAATTACATCCCTACTGTAGGCTAAGTCATTAAACAACTATAAAGCCTTTTACTTGTTGCTTTCTTAAAACAGATTGCAGTTTCTCCTGTTTTAATTGCATTATTCAGCACATTATAGCCACTAACTTGTAGTGTGTAGGACTGAATCTAACCAAAGGACAATACAGTTGATTCATAATAGATACATGTTTATCAGATCAATGGGCTCCATGTTTTAAGTTTGAAAAGTTGAAATATAGCAAAAAACATTGTTAGGCCTGGTTAAGATAAAAAATGTGATCATGTGCAGAAGAAACAGACAAACTATGATTTATATGGTGCATGTGACTGTGACATCTAATGAAGCTTCAGCTCCACTGAAATGATGGAAAGTGGAAGCTAAACAAAACATCTGATGTGTTAACTAACACACTGAAATTGGTACAGCCAACAAATCCTCTTTGCCAAATGTCATATTTGTAGTGTGTTTTCTACATTGTTTTCACTGGTGCTCTGTTCAGGTTAAGGCACCTATTCGCAGATTCAGCAACACTGTTCAGCTCAATACTTCCATCTAGTAATGGAAGTAAGTGCATATTAATTCATAATGACAGGTTTTACACTATATTTTTTATAGAAATTTGACTAAAGTCTACTCTTAAACTGTAATTACTGCTTACTTGTTTGTGACCAGTTCAACCACTGGGCAATTTAAATACATTATTCAGTTATTCTGAATAGTTAAATATCATTTTGTGAAGCAGAAACTTTTTTTTTTTTTTTTTGTTCCTGGCCTGTTAGTCATTCTGCGACCCATTAGGAGGTCCCAAACCTCAGGCTGGAAACAACAGACTACACAACATAAAAAGACTAATCATATGAGCATGTTTGCTGCTTAATGTGAAATATGTGAAAAAAAATACATATTGACGATATAGAAAGTAATGATGTACACAACAGATTTATCTGTATGTAGGGATCCAAGCACATCTTTGAAACTCTTTCTCTGCATTTGCTGCAGTTGAATATACAAATTTAATAATTTGGGAATTTCTAAATGACAACCAGAGAAGGTCTTACCTACACTCAGTCATATGTGATTTTGGTACAAGTGTCAGAGGCACAGACTCACCATGGCTCTGCGGTTTTCCACCAGGTGGATGCCAACGATGCCCAGAAATGCTCCAAAACTGAGCTGGAGGAGCAAAGGGAAAAATCAGAGTGGAAGACGTGAGAAGAAGCATCACAGATCAGCTGAGGAGAAGATAGAAATAAAATAACACGTGCCATGAAGTGTTTGAAGGGTTAATGTTTAAGTTCATTCTCAGTGTCGGGACAAAGAAATGTGAAGACTGTGGAGGTGACTGTGACTCACTGTGATGCCAGAATAATATCCAGCAACAGGCACATTGTCGGTGCGAGTTGCTGCGATCAGACCCAGGGCCAGAATCACCAGAGCCAGACTCAGCAGGGACACGGTGATCCACAGAGCAGTCTTCCTCCGACGTAGGTACTGAGCTGAACGGGAGACAGGAAGCGTCTTTACATTCATCATAAGTAAACCATCTTCTCCTGAGCCCTCCGAAGCCAACTCTGACCAGAAAATCCAAACATCAACTTCTAAACATAATTTTTCTCAAGACGCCATCATATATTGTAGTAATTTATGTGAATAAGTAAAAGTTTTGCATTCAAAATCTTATTTAAGTAACTATTAACAAAGTCTACTCAATGGATCAAAGCACTTTTATTGTGCAGGTAAAAATGCCTCCTGTCCATGTTTCAGGACTAATGTAATTAGTGTTAAGCTGATTGTACCTGATTTATTCATTTGCATGCTCAAAATTAACTGGTTTTGTTATTAGCGGTCTATATTTTGAAGCACATGTTCAATAAAGCCTTCTGAAGATGTTTGTGCAGTTTTTAACATGGTAAACATCAAACTAACAAATAATTGTCTGTCAGATTGATATATATAAAATAAGAATCACTATTTTCCTTTAGATGATTGTGGAGTAAACATAAAACAGGAGAAGCAACATTCTAGATCTTTTCTTCTTCTTTTTTTTCTAAAAGAACAAACTACTTGTGAGAGCTAAATTGCTTTTGGGGCCTTTTGCAGCCTTTTTGCTCACATAATTACTCCTGCACATGCAAATGACCACTTTCTATGCAAAGAGCAGCACTGAATGAAAAACATGCACAGTATTATAAGGATGCTGCCTTTTGTTAGTGTACCTGCTGGATCCAGCTCTTCTGCAGCTGTTTGCTGAGCTGTCTGCAGGGTTTCAGGCTGCTGCATGTTGACTCAATCAGGACCAAATAAGCTCTGAAATTTCAAAAAAATAAAATAAAATAAAAAAATAAAATAGCACAGATCAGGAAGATGTGCTGATAGTTTTCTGAGTTGAGTCAAAACAGAATCTTCATCCTCCACGGAGGATACAAGACGGGCTACTTCTTTATAATCCACACATTTGGTTGATGATCAAGATTGTTTTTTCTTTTTCTTCTCACTGCTGACTCTCTGTGAGCTCAGGAGGGTTTAAGTTTACTAGAAACCTGACAGAGAGAAAGAGGGAGAGAGAGAGAGAGAGAGAGAGAGAGAGAGAGAGCGAGAGCTGCAGAGAGAGGCCAATCAGCTTCCTGCATTCACCTCAGTGATAAATTATTAAACTATTTATCTTACATAAGTTTGATACAACTTGTATCTGATTCCTGTTGAAATATCTGACAGAATGTGATTAAACTCTACACAACATACAATAAAACATTGGGTATGATGAGCTTTTGTTGAGTTTTATTTTAATGTGGAGGCTGCTGGATCACTGACTGGTCATGATGCTGCATGAGTTGATGGTGAATGTGTGATTGCAGCGCCCTCCACTGGCTAACAAGCCCTATAGCCTACAATCTCTTTAGCCAAATGAAAGCACCTGGGACATTTAAGAAGTTAAGTTGTCTGTTGTATATTTCCATAATATGTAGAAAAAGAGACCGATTTACTGAAGTCTCACCTATATTTGCTAAATATTTCAGTCTTTTTCAAGACTACATGGAACCCTTACCATTATAAAGGTTGGCTTGTATTGTGTGAATTTAAGATATTTTGGGAATTTTGGTGAGTAAAAATACAATTTCTTCAGTATGCAAGTAGACTGAATCTTCAAACAATAAATGAGCGGACGATTGGTTATTAATACAAATAATGCTTCAGGAAAAAAGCGTAAAACATCACCCAGTTTCAACCTCTTTGTTGTGAATGTTTTGGGGTTTTTTGTCTTATGTGATTATAATAAAATTTTAATTTGATTGTATGAAGTTCATTTGGATTTTAAAGTGTAGGTTGGATGAAACAAGCAATCCACTGACATAAACTTGGAATAAAATATTTATTTCAATTCATAAACATCTGTACAGCAGTGGCTTATTTACACATCTGAAGCTGGGAAACTTAAAAAACAAAGCTAAAAAGTGAAAACAGAAAAAAATCACGCGTAGCACATATATTCATACGCGTGTGCATATATGTGCGTGTGTTGTTTCCAGCATTTGTTTATTAAAGTGTATGTTAGAGGTGCAGAGAGACAGCAGCTGTGCACTTACATGTCAGGCAAATGAAACCTGGTTGGTAGGAAATATAAATTCTATTTTTTTGTGCAGTTCTTTTACACAGACAAAAGTGTACACTAAATTAAACAGTGTAAGTATAACACATGCTTTAAAAGCATTTGTCAGATGTGAAAAATTAAATACCTGAGCTGTGAAGCTCTGGCTAGCATTGCAGCAAAACAACTGGACGAAAAGTGCAGAAAATACTGTAAATATCTCTTTAGAGTTGCACTGCTGGTGAAAAAAAAAAAAAAATCATTCCCTTTCCAATCCACCACTAGAGGTGCTGACCTCTTGTACAAAATGTGCTCAAGAAATAACAGTTCTTGTAAAAAAAAAATCATGCATTAGCAGCAGAAGTGTCACGCCACGGTCATCGCGGCCTCTTATGACAGTGTGCAGGTGGAGGATTTGGGCGGCTGCTCCAGGATGGATTCACGTCGCAGGTCGTTGGGCAAAGTGCCGCCCGGACCCCAGACTGTGAGCTCTCCATAGATCCCCATCTCGATCATCTCCTCCTGCCACGGGATAGAGATGTTTCCTGAAGCAAACTCTTCAAAAAAGTCCATGTCCTTGTCTTCCAGCTGCACGCCTTTTACTGTGGAGAAGGCCCCGACGTCATCGATGTCTTTGGCATACACTGTCTTGGAGTCTGGCACAAAAGGGGGAGGAAGAATCCCTGAGGAGACACAACAAGGGAGGGTGGGATATTTAATTTTTTTTCTTTCTTCTTTTTTCATGTTGTACAAAATTTGTCATCACCATACAGACCATATTGATCAAAAGCAGCAGTTTGATGGTCCTGAGCCACCAGGATACCCCTAAAGCTCCTTATCATTCATGGCTTTTAACTCTAGCAAATGTGAGGTGAAAAATAGCTGCAGTCTCTTCATTCAACCAACAGGCTTCAGCAAAGGACCTTCATCGCAGTGTGTTACACACTGAAACAAACTACAAGATGTGTGGTCAGTTATCCAATGAAAACTATAATATATCTGATATTATTAATAAATGCATATACACAGAAATGCTGTAAAATGGACCAATCATTATTTATGATGACGGTGTTAGTGCACTTTAAACGGTAAAACCAAATCCTGATTGTCCACAAAAACATAAGACCTCACCTTCATTTAACCTAATGAAACTCACTAACTCAAACCAGTTAAAAGAGCAAAAATAAAAGCCAAACTTCCTGCAGAATCATTGTAAAGAGAGAGAAGCTGATTAGGAAAATATTTTCAGAGCCAAACCAAACTAAACATACCAGCATCTATACATTGATACAAATGATTACATATGTCAGCGTACTGTAGGAAAATTAAAAATCCTTACATAGTGAGGACGAAATGCCGGAACACTTTTGAAAACAAACTGAGTTTGTGCAGTTTGTGCAAACTGAGCAGAAAGTAATTAAAACAGACAAAACAATGTCAGCGAACTACTGGGAAACTTAGTGGGTTTATGCCCGAAAATGACCTGCATTCAGTTTCCTCCAGTTGATCTCGCTGAAGAAAGAATGCGCCCTCAGCTCGTCACATGAGCCGTCCTTGAAGCCGAGCCTCTTGTCGATCTCTTTGCTCAACAGACCCTCGCAGATGGACCGGGCGTTCTCACTAAATTTCTCTGGATAAATTACTGGATCGTTCAAGATCCGCTTCTTCACCACCTTGTTCTCCACCTTTAACAGAAGAAAACAGTAGGATGAACAAAACCTGCTTCAGTCCAAACACATTTTGGTCCTTTTATTTCTTGAATGTATCTGAATTTTACATATTAAAGAGAATATCCAACTCAAGTATTTATCTGCAAAGCTCTTTTTTATTACATATGTAGAGGATGTGAAGGGGAATTCAAGTACAGTCTTCTAATTGTGCTCTACAATGCCACCATAAATCTCTTTTAAAACAAATATTTATACTGTTGTGCGTAGAAACACAGATATCAGGGTTTCAGGTTTCACGGCAGCATCAGGTCACAAGTTGGCGAGGCTGAGCTGGTTAAATCTGTATTGTCACACAGATTTAAACATGGCAGGACTTAAATAGAATAAATAGAGGTAAAGGGACATTAAAGACACTAATACATTTAAAGACAGTTCAAAATGTGGGCTGAGAACAGAAAAAGAGAGACAAATTTCACACACACCTTCTCTCCTCGGGTCCTGAAGGGCCCCTTGGCAGCCAGAAACTCATACAGAGTGACGCCCAGAGTGAAATAATCCACAGAGTAGTCATACTCTTCTCCTTTCAGCAGCTCTGGAGCCATGAAGCCTGCAGGTGACAGAAAAGATCTAAATAGAACTAAAACTATACTTTCTCTTCACTATCAATAGAGGAATGGCTCACAATGTACTACTGCACCTACAGTTCTAGTTTACTTGAGCATTTCTGCTTTATAGTACAATGTAGGAGGGAATTGTGAACTTTCTTATACTTCACAACACTGCGTCAACTATCTAATGTATTATTGAAGCAAAAGCTGTGATTTTTTTTATTATATCATCTACCAAACCCTTTGCAATCGTTCTATTTTCTAACAGTTTTCATTTTCTTTGTACTGCAATTTATATAGTCAGGGGTTCAAAAGTGCTGTACAAACAAAACCGGCTTACCTTACTTGTGAAGTACTTTGAACTACTAACACTGCATGTAAAAGGACTGCTCAGAAGTAACTTGTTTTGCGTAGTTTAACCAAAATGAATGTAATACTGGATTATTTAATGCACATCAAACTAGAGAGAAGCTTGGGCGGCTGTGGCTCAGGGGGTAGATCAATTGTCCTCTGATCCTAAGGTTGGCGGTTCGATCCCCCGCCCCTCCACAGTCAAAGTGTCCTTGGGCAAGACACTGAACCTGAAGTTGCTCCCAATGGCGGGCATCACCTTGCATGGCAGCTCTGTCGCCACTGGTGTAAGAATGTGTGTGTGAATGGGTGAATGAGAAAACATTGTAGAGGGCTTTGAGTGCCGCTAAGGTAGAAAAACGCTATATAACTACAGTCCATTTAACCTTCTAATCAAAGGGTGAATTCTTCATGATTTTTTTTTAACAAAATATGGTAAAATACGCATATATGCTGTGTTTATCTTTTTTATAAGTATGCATTATATACATTACATAGTTTGTTCATTCACTGTAATATATTATAGAGAGTCAGAACAACTCCATTTTCAGTCATTTAGTTAACACCTACTGTGTAGGTATATGCAATATATATACACTGCAGCATGTGGTATTACACGTGACCAGATAAATGTCATCTAATAATCAGAGTGAGAAAGACAAACACAGTAAAGCTGTGGGTTCTGTAGCTGTTGTTCTTACAACTCTGTTGGAAGATCAACTGTAACCAGGTAAACATCATTTGTTGATTATTTTGCCGGTACCTGGAGTCCCTGCATAGCCCTTGATTTTGAACTGATCGTCAGCCAGCTCCACAGCCAAGCCAAGGTCAGAGATACGGACGTTACCTGAAAGAGCAAACAGCCGGTTAACGTCAAGAACCGTCCACGTCACAGATACCAGAGGTGACTCAAAGATGTCCTTGTGTGAGAAAACAGTGTGTGCTGTATGTGTGAAGTGTGTGTGTGAGTGGTTTACTGTCAAGGTGAGCTGCTCTAGCGTCATTATAAAGGTGCAAAAAGTGTCTCGGGGTTGAAATTTGACTGTGATTTAGAGACAGCTTGATACTTTGGGAAAGGCTTTGTTCACTGTCACCACTCTGATACGAAACTTAAGTATGGAGGTGGTTAGCTCAGTGTTAGCAAACAGCTAGTCTTTTTCCTGGAAGTCAGAGTAAAACCACAAAATGTCATTTTAATACTTTAATTTGTGTGTGTTTTACACAAACAGGATATAACATGCTAATTAGTGAGACATTAAGATGATTGATGGTAAGTTTTGTTACCGTTGGACAGGGACAAGTAGATGGGCAGTTTGTATGTATAACAAAAGGCTTCGCTAACTATCCAGCAAGAGAGTAAATAATAACATTTCCCAAACAGACAATTTCTAATACAGGGTCTTTTACAGTCATTCAGGCTATGTCAAATTAATTAAGGCCTTAGTTTAGACTTGGACCATTGGTCTCAGGTTCTTTTTTCTATGTTATTTGTCCTGTTTCTATTTGCAAACAGGTATGTGTCAGCCCCTTCCCCTAATTGGTGCCTGCACTTCCTGCTTGGCCCATCGTTCCAATTGCTCCGCCCCTGTCCCGCCCCCGGCCCTCACTGATTGGACTGCTGCTCTGGACCCTGGACATTACTGCCTGTTGTGTAATTCTTTTGCTAAATAAACGTGCAGGAATTAAATTTAAGTTCATTTGATGGCAATGTAGAACAGGCAACTGCCTTTAAAAACGTCTTTCATTTGTTCATGGATGAAATGCGAATATTCTTAATTTTGTGTGTTGATGACAAATATCTTTGTAAATGTAATGTTTACATAATGTTGGCTAAATCCCATGTCTTGGGACCTGTATTAATAGTATTAGAGGAAACTACCTACTGACATTATTTTGTGGGTTTGTTTAATTGTAAAAAAAATAAAAATAAAATTGAATTTTTATAGTAAACTTATTGTGATCACATAAATAAATTAAAACGGTAACTTGCATAACTATAATAGTGTTGCACACTATTGCTTAATACACTAATCAAATTTTTGAAAATCTCCAGAATCTTCTGCATCATTTAATGTTGGGAATATCTTTATTTACACACAGAAAAAGACTAAATTCAAGCACCAGGTGCAATTAAAAGAATAATGGAATATGTATGGATCCAGTTGTTTTCCAAAATAGAGCCAGTTGCTGTATGAGCTCATAGTTCATATTTTGAGAGTAAAGAAAAAAATCATTGTTGAAGAAAACAGACAAGCTCTTTTGTCTATTAGTAATATAATAGTTCTTTTTCAAAATAAAATTCTTCTGCTTCTCTCATGTGATTACTGAGGGGAACCACTGCATGGGTTTTAAATACTGAGGGGGACGGACAGGTTCCTAAATCTTTTGTGGCCTTTCAGTGCAACAAACAAGATTTACCTTTTCTGTTGTGTCAACATAAAACAAAATTAGTCCATGTTAGCAATCCAGCAGTCCACAAATATGTTGCATGTTTGAAGCTTTTTGAATCACTGTTGGGTTTTTTAAAAAATGCTTGTAATAAAATTATGCTTCACATACATGTATTACATTTTGTAAATGTCAAGTCCTAAATGCAACAACCCTAAACTTGCAGACACCCTTCTTATAATTCAATGCTGACCACCCAGTATGATCTCTTTAATGTTTAAATAATCTCTAAATAGGGACACAAGTCCTAAACAATATGTTCCATGCTGCACCTCAAGCCCAAACACTGAAGACTACATCTTTATTTTTGGACATGTGTCTGACCTTGATTATCCAGCAGCACATTCTCTGGTTTGAGGTCTCTGTAGATGATCCTTTTCTGGTGGAGGTGCTCCATACCCTGGATGATCTGAGCAGTGTAGTAACAGGCCCGCGGCTCGTCAAAGCCTGGGTTGTTCTCATCAACATTATAGATGTGATATCTGTTTTCATGAGAGAGACAATGTAGGGTCATGTGAGGAAACATTTATACATTTCTTTAATGAACATCTACTGCAACACACTTGTGGGACGCCCCGTGTGTGCTCCCATATAAATACATTTCTAGGGGTATACAACAAATAAATGCTATGTGGACACTCAGGACCTTCATGTATGACATTTAACTTAAAACAATCCACTAAAAAGTAACATTTGGTCCAAGGAAAGGTGACATAACATGACACTCTAGTCAAATACATGTTAGATTTCAGTGCATAATCTGTATGTTAGGATATTAATTGTTAATATTTAGGTTGAAAAGTGTCTACATTATAGCAGACTCCTCAGAGTTGGAAATAGTGTTGGATGCAAGGACATGGGACCAAAAAGACAAAATGGGAAGATATTCTTGGCAGGAACACTGACCTTAGATCTCCTCCATTCATGATGGTCATGACCAGACATAGCTCTGTTTTCGACTGGAAGGCGTAAGCCAAAGACACAATGAACCTGCTGTGAACTCGAGCCAGGATCCTTTTCTCCACCATCGCCCCCTACAGCCAGGAGAGGACAGCAGATATGAGTATATTCTGTATGATTACATGACTCTAGGTTACTATTGTATCATTGTGCATCATTCATCTGTACTTAGTCTGACTCACTAAATGTAGACTTCAAGCATACTGTAAGTTTGCCAACTCTGTGGTGTATTTCATGAGGCTTTCTTCTTCCCTTCCTCTATCTGCACGTTAAATTCTATTCGGTATGGAAACAACAACAACAACAACCCCCACCAATCAGCAACCTAGAGGCTGAAAAAGATTTAGATTGTGCAGTAAAGTAGGCCTGCTTTGTTCACTTGGTGAATTAATCATTTTAATGACAGTGCTTGCTTCCTTACCTGCAAATGTTCCACCAAAACAAGTTTTCCTTGTTGCTATTTTACAGGGGCACCATTGCTACAACCTGGGCGTAGCGACACCTATTGCAATTGTGACTGGTTTAAAGAAATGCAGACAAGCCAGAACATATTTTTCCCATATAGTAAAATGATAATCTGCAATTAGAGTTGCTGGCAATGAATCATAAACATTACTACATTACCATCTGTCCATCTGAACTTCTTCACAAAGCTGCTTTCTGCCTTCAGCTAACATCACTCGTGTGAATGATATGTTGTGAGTGCGCAATGTATTTCTCTGGTTGTGCTTCATCTAAGCTGCCCTGATCAAAATAGACTTCAGACAAGTCCTAAGTAGTTCAGCTAAACTACAATGCAGCTACATTTCTTAACTTCTTGAGACTCGAGCTCTTATTTAATATGCATTTTTTATTTCTCTTTGCTATTTGGGCTTATTGGAACCTGACAAGTATAAAAACTAAGTATCATCATAGATGGTAGTGTAAGTGCCCACACATGTGACCATAAGGCCCCAGTTAAGCAGAATTAACTACTGTGGTAAAAGAAACCAAAATGTGATGGCCACACATGTGGACACCAGGTTTTAAGAGGTTAATTAACTTCTCATTAAAGTCATTGAGTTGCAAGGCAATGTTGTCTGGCTCTGTGCATCAAGATTTATAAACATGGCAGGATTGTCACTTCATAAGGGGATCAAAATGTACTAATGCTGAGGGGATTAATCATGTAAGCCAAATGTGCCTAACGTCCATCTAGTCTGTTGTTAGACAGCTGGACAACAAAGACACTGCAAATAAAAGATTCACAAAACTAGAACCCAACTACTGCAAGACCTGTGTTGTGTAGTGTCCCTAAATTAGGTGCAATTATATCCATAGTCTTGTGTTGCAGCTGCCTATATTGTTCCTCATTGTCAATCCCCTTACCTCGTTGCCTTTTCTCTTCTTCAGCCTTTTCTTGTTGAGCTTTTTGCAGGCGTACAGTTTCCCCGTGGCCTTTGTCTGACAGGCAGACACTTCCCCAAAACCCCCTTTGCCTAAAACACGAAAATCCAAGAACCAGTCCTCTCCCATAGGTTGCATCTCCAGCCACTTCCACTGCAGGAACCTCTTCAGATACATACTCTCCAGGAAGAAAGTGTAGGGCACTTCCTTGAGAAAGTCCATCACGCTGTCCATGGTCTCACTGAAAAGATCGTCCCCGGCTTCATGGTGTTTCTCTTTGACATTGGTGATGCCATTTTCTGGCAGAAAGGGGCAGTAATACTTGGCACCAGGCTCCATGTAACGGGACAAGATCTTGCTCGCTTTCTTGACTCTATCTTCATCCTCTGCATTGTTGTATTCGTCAATATCCTTCCACAGGCGGCAGGGGCCTTTGTACTCATTGTTGGAGTCCAGGAACTCCTGGAAAAGACGTTTTCCGATGGGCTGCTCCACACATACTGTCTGGAAGCCCAGGTCTAAAGTCTCTCTCAGACCCTCACACACTGTGATGTGAGGCAGCTTCAAGCGAGCGTGGTACTTCTTGTCTCGGTTAGATGCCGGGTTGGCAGTGCCATCGACGCTCCCACGGGCTGAGATGTAAGCAGAGTTGGCCACCACTGTTGTCAGGCCACCAATATCCATGGTGACACAGTGGAGACGAGAGGAGGAGGGAAGGAGAAATGTGTGAGATACAGCAAAAGCTACTGAGAAAAGGTGTTAAAGGGAGGCAGAGGTGGAGGTGAGAGCTGGGACGAGTAGACAACGAAGAAAGTGTCAAAGAAGCAGGGGACACACAAGCAATTTCCAGAGGTGTGATGTGGATTTCCTCTCCCTGCAGTGATTCAGAGGCAGAGTGTGTCGTACATGTGGTTCGCTAAACCTTCCCCTCCTCTCGCACACATGGAGACACACATGCAGATCTACCTGACTCATCACCTTACTGCAAAGGGATTTATCCACTCTGTACCTCTGTAATACTTTATCCCGAGCTAACTCATATGGACATTGTAGCAGACGAGGAGGGAACAGAGATTCAGGGAACATGATGGACAGGAGAGGCAGAAAATGAAAGAGTGGCACGAGGGAGAGGAGGGAAAGATATGGCATGAATGTAGTGGGCTGGTAGTGACAGGAATGCTGTGAAGCTGAAAGAGGGAAAGACACAATAGAGTGTTTTTTCTGCAGAGTGCTAGTGTCAAACTTTGTTGGTCTAATTTTGCTAGTTTAAAACCTTATTCCTCTTTAACAAGAAAAAAACATTGCAAAGCTGCAATGATTCTGACAACAGAGGTGTCTAGACAGTCTAACAGCTTTAAATACAAGAATTCTTTATTGATTAACCTCTGATAATTTAGTACAAAGTACAAAAAATCCAATTAATGCATGTTTTCTTTTATTTACTCAAATCCCCAAAAATACAAGCAATACAAGCCTGCCTTTGGGATCAACTTCAGGTTTAGTGTCTGGCCCAAGGACACTTTGACTGTGGAGAGGCCAGGGATTGACCTGCCAACCTTGCAATTGGAGGACAACCTGCTCTACCACCTGAGCCACAGCCACCCTAGTGCCTTCCTGTAATGACAGGCACCCTTAGGTTTGCCTCACTAAAATTCACAAAGTCAATTTCCAACATTAAGTCATTTTTTCAGTTTACAGTTACCAAGACAAACTGATCTACTGATTTAAATGTGCAGCAGCAGACCCATTTTCATTCTTTGACCTTTTGTGTTTACCCCATTTTCATCTATTTGTCTTTGCTTACTTGACTTACTTTTACTTCTCCCTCTATCCATTGCTTCAGAAAGCCAACTAATGAGTCAGCGTTCTTAAAATTAATGAGCAATTTAATTTAAGTTTATGGTCGTTTGACTTACCCCAAAACAATTCATACTTCAGGAATCATGACTTTTGAAGTGATGAAACAGTTAGTGAGCAAGCACTGCAATCCCATGAGCCATAAACTGGTTCCAGCTTACAAAATCTGTGGTTTTGCTGCTCTTCTCATTTGAATCACTGTAAAATGAATAAATTTTATGTGTTGACCGTTGCAGAAAACAACTAAAGACTAACTTTTTGAACCTGTCATGAATTAAATCATTACTATTGACGTAAAATGTGTGAAAGTATCTATTCTTCAGTAGTCGAAGGGGAATTCAAAAAGACGAAGGGCTTGTTTATGTTCACTATGTGCCAGTCACCTAAACCCAACAAAATCATACCCACGTTGCTGGAAACCAACCTGCCACGTGTTCAAGGTGAGCCAGAGGTTTCTCCAAGGAGTGAAGCAGGTTGTTTCCTGTTTCAAAGCTGGCCCACTTCCTCCTTCTCTGCCCACCTTATCCCGGCCCAATAAATACTGAATGACAGATAACACAAAGATCACACTGTGGAGGGGCATGTAGGAGTGAGGTTTGGCTTTAAGTGTAGAAGAGAATGAGTTTGGGCAGAAGAAATTAGCATAAAGGCCTCAAAATTTTTGGGGAGGGACCGGAGAGAGAAGAAACACATAAGACTGTGTTTTCACTGAGGAAAGGAAGGTAAAGGTAGAGTTGAGTGAAGGTAAGAGAGTGTTGGAACTTCATCATGGCCGCACTGAAGGAGAAGAGGACTTGCGGGCAGCGATGTGAGGACTTTGGACATTTTGTCTGGAACTCAGAGAATGGAACTTTAATGGGGAGAACACCAGAAAAATGGGGTAGGAATGAATATACAACTTGTTTAAGTTCTTTTGTGCAACATGAGGATGTTTGTAGCATTGATGTTGGAATGCATTATTCTTTCAGTTTTGCTAAAGGATCTTGTGAGGAAGAGTCTTGCACTGCACATTTGTTGTTGCAAACTTTGTTTTTTGTCTCTATTACATCAATTTATATTGCTGCTGACCAATTCTATCCCACCAGCAACAACTCTGATGATTTCACAAGATTTTTTTTTTGCCTAGAGACACAAGAAACACATTCAAATTGAATCATTATATCACATAATATCAACAAAATCTAATCTTACAAACTTGATGAAACTTGTAAATTCCTTCAAAATGTAAAATTTGTTTGTCCAAACCGATATTGACCTTTAATTGACCTTTATCAAATTTAAATCTCAAATAGCTGCTTTTCAAATGATGTATAATTTGATTCAGAATGGCCTGCTGCTATTGAAAATACACCTGCAAAGTTTCCACAGGGGTCAGTGAATGTTAAAGAGGCAAAAATCTATTCTACAACATAACATTTTAAACTCTTCAGCTGGTTGGAGTGAAACTTGGCCTGCCAGATGAGATTCCACGCAAGAAAATACCATTAGAGATTCCTTTAGGTCCTTTTGTTTGTTAATATCCAGGTTTTTGACACCAAATTGATATTTAAATGTAAAATATCACATATACATGTCAAATAAAAATATGATTATCAAACACGGAAGAACTGCAAAGATTTGGTGGGAAAAAAAAGTTTTGCACTTTTTGCAACAAAGTAATAAAACAAAGACAGAAAACACAAGGCAATAAATTAGTGAATTAAAAATGTTTTTTGGGAGTATATGTACAACGTATAATGGTGCTTGTATGTTTTATGAAACCTTTGTGTAATTTGTCCATAAAATATAAACTTAGAAAGGAACTTATACCTATAACTACAGTACCTAGCTGCATCTAATCACTACAAATAGACATTTAGCTAAGAAGAATATTAAAGTTTATTCGTGAAACAGAGTTGCAGAGGTTGTTGGGGTCTCTACACACTTTGCATCACATACATGCAGCCAAGTTTGTCAAAAGACACACGTGAGCTCAGCGACGTCATGACTTTTTCTGCCCTTTTCAAATCACGGTGGTGTATGTTTGCAGCATGTGTGCGGAGAGATAAGGCAGCTGTTGTGGTACACTTTGTTATCTGTTTGATCTTACAATCAGATTTAATTCAGCTCGTTTCACTAGAGGACACCTTGACCCCTGTGTGTTCACATTAAGCAGAACTGCCTTGTAGACTGTTAAAACATACATTACTTTTTCCTCTTTTTCATGCTTGGATGGGAAAATACCCACAATAAAAATCAAGAAGAGGCTTTAAATAAGAAATGTAACATGCCCTCAAGCATGAAGTTATGTTTTACTCAATAAAAAACATCCACTTCCCTCCTCCACAGTGTACATCAGTCTGTATTATGTGGCCTTCTACGTGGTGATGACGAGCCTCTTTTCTTTGGCCATCTGGGTCCTCATGTACACCTTGAGTCCATACGCTCCGGACTATCAAGACCGGCTAACGTCTCCGGGTAAAACAAGAACAAAAAGATGAAAAAGACAATAAGAAAGGAAACCTCAGTGCCTCTTAAATAGCTCTCTTTTTCCTCGTTCAGGGGTGATGGTGTGGCCAAACACGTACGGAGAGGAAGACGTTGAAATCTCCTACAACACATCAGACAAGGCCAGCTGGATGGGGATGTCCAACATCCTTCATGAGTTCCTGGAGCGTTAGTAATTATGTTATTTAAAGGAGAATTATTTCATGTATAAGACGCTCACAGTTTACTCTCAACCTCTTTGCCTGTGTCCCTCAGCCTACAATGACACCATGCAGCTGCAGTGTAACCCCCATAACTGCACCAAGGGGAAGTACTTCATCCAGAACACCTACTCTGCCCCGAAGCACACCAAGTGGGTCTGTCCGTTCACCCAAAGCATGTTGGGAGCCTGCTCAGGACTCGAGGACCCAACCTTTGGTTACAACTGCACCATGCCATGTGTCATTATTAAGATGAACAGGGTATTTTTTTATTTTTATTTTTTTAATAAACTTCAAAATGTAAAAAAATGTAATGCATTAAATAACCATGACTAAAAAGCAAATGTTGTGTTTTGTTGGCAGATCATTAACTTCTTGCCTACGAACAGCTCTAGCTCCCCCCCATATGTCAACTGCACTGTACTGGTAAGCAACAACTGCAATTATTAGGGAAAATATCTCAAGTTTTACATCTTTATTCCAGGGCTAGTCCAGCAATTTGGGGCTTGCAAAAGACAAATAAGAAAAAAAAAATAGTGATTGATATTACAGGAGTCAAAATATGGTGACTTTCTGTTCCCCAAAAACATTTGATCCTACATTTCCTATAATACAGAAATCTTTTCATTTGACAAATCCTTCAGACTCATCAACCACAACACTTTGTGATAAATTTAAAGACATTTTACAACAGATTTTCCAGACTAAGTAGGACTTCTGATGGCTAACCAGATTACTGAGTGTAAAATTAGTTGGGTGCCTCTTTTTTAGATTTTAGATGCAATTCTGTGTTTTTGTTTGTTTGCAGAGTGGACAGAACAACGTGGACAAAATCGAGTATTTTCCCAACAATGGAACTATGGATCCTTCCTACTTCCCTTACTACGGAAATCTGGCACAGGTAAACAAGAAAGACTTGGTTTGTATTTGAAAATACATTAAAAAATGTTTATGACATTAAAGTAATAGCTTATGAAAGTCAGGCAGAGTAACTAACTGGACTAAGCAGAAATTTGGTCCAACACTAGTATCACCTGGTTTGTGGTAAAAAAAAGGACTTATTAGAAGCCTTCAATGGACATCTTGAACAGAAATAATGACGCCCTTAAGCCGGCCCCTCCACCAGTCTTGACAAAAAAATTTAAAAATACAGGAAAAAATAAAAATTATACGGTGCATACAAGGTTGGATTACAAAATGGGCAAAGTAGGCAACTGCCTCAAAGGCCTGAAGTTCATTTTGTAGCAATTTCTATTTATTTCTTGGTGATTTTGTTAAACAAAACTTAATTTATCACAACTTTATGTGAAATATTGTTTTAATCTTAAGGCTCTACATGGAAATCTACTTTCTTAGTTAGGTACAAGCCTTGCATGGCGTATATCATTAAATAAATTTGCATTTGACTGACCCAGTTAAAAGTTCAAGATTAGAGGCAACTTGACTAGGATCCAGCACTTTTTCTTTTTCTTTTCGGTAAATCTAGCCCAGTGTGCATTTGCCTAAAAAAATCAATACCAGTTTACCAAACAGCTGTTTTTGCAGTAGTTGAAAAGGTCGTGTCACATCAGCAATACAATTTTTAACATCAGCTCATTCTGAAATTGAAGGAAAACTTAGACATTTTGGGATAATATTCTTATTTGCTTTCTTGTTGACAGTTAAACAAGAAAATTGATGTCACTCTTGTATTTTTTTCTGGACATGCAGAATGTATTTTCCAAGTGCAGCTAGTTAGTTTAGAAAGAGGAAACAGCTAGCATGGCTCTTTTCAAAGATAACAAAATTCATCTGCTTTCATAAAACCACAGCTACACTTCAGGCTCTGTACAAGTCAATCATCTTAACTGTAGAGAAGCTTCCTTTGGTTAGAGCTAGGCTAGCTGTTTCCCCCTGCTTTCAGTCTTTATGCTAAGCTAGGCTAACCGCCAGCTGGCTGACACTTCGTATCAACCACCTAAACATGTTAGTTTTATCGATGTTTTCAGCAAACTGTTAGCAGGAATTTAGATTAATGTATTTCCCAAAACTATCCCTTGAAGGTTTCTCATGGGGACCGAGAATAATTGAAATGAAAATCAGCCAGACACATACTGCATTCTCCTTTCTATCTGTGTCCTTCAGCCCACTTATGTGAACCCGCTGGTGGCCGTTCGGTTTAGCCTGGTCGGAGAGAAGCAGGCCAAGATCCAGTGCAGAGTCGTCTCTGAAAAGATCAGCTACGAAAACATCCATGACCCCTACGAAGGGAAAGTCCTCTTCTACCTCAAAGCAGTGAAATGAGAAACAGAACCAAAGATAATCAGATAATCTCCTGCCAGTATCAGTTGTCTGCAGATCATTATTACTATATTATTATTTCATGACCTTCAAACCACTCGTAGTCCACTCAATCCCACTTGTAGACCTCTGTGCGGTGGAGTATTTTCATTCAAACTGATTTGCAGAGTGATTAATGAACTTCCTTTTCATCTGATATTTAGATTTTACCATTAAATACACAGTGAAATCTGTAAATCTATAGGATGTAAGAGCAAAACGATGAATTGTAACACTACAATATATTCTTCAGTGTCCAATGTGCCCATGAAAAATGGATGATGAAGTGTCTGAATAAAAATTAATTTCAATTTCAGTGTGGTGTCATAAATGTATCTGACAAACAAAAGAAGAAAAAAAAATCAGTATTGCCACTTCTGAAAAAAAAGCAAAAGCAGAGCACTTGTACATATTTATGCGGCTATTGTCTGTAAAGTGTCTGTAAGCGGCAACTACCTATTCCAGCTAATAGGATGATGATGGCCATGAGGTTTGTCAGAGATGTGCTGACTGCAGAGGTTGTGGGTTATCAGCTTACACAGTACAGGTGTGTTCGCATGCTTACACACAGACACGTGTAGGTCTGACTCATCCACAGCTGATCATTACAGTTAATAGACAGGGTTTCCTCAAAGCCAAGCAAACCATTATTGCGCTGAATGATACAGTGACAAATATTTTATCACAAGAATTCACTCATGTCCACTCACCTGTTTCTCTTTGGGTTCAGTGCAGAAGTTACAGAGAGGGAAGACAGATGCATTTGTAGATAAATACATAAGACATAAGGAGAGAAATGTCTGACACACAAACTTATTAGGGTCCAAGCACCAACAGTGCAAGGACCCTATTGTAACCGTTGGGTTTATTAGGGTCCAAGCACTGCTATGTCATTATTTCTTCATCACAAAGAAACACGTTTTTCAGGTACTAAACATACTTGAAAACTCACAAAATTTGGCACACACATCAGACCCGGCTAAAAATTTTAGAATTGGGGGAAAGACACATCTCAGTAGAAAAATGGCTCCACAGCGCCACCATGAAAATTTCAACAGAGTCCCATCGGAAGCACATTTGACCTAGACCTACACAATTTGGTAGGTATATGGAGGAGGTCAGGACGAATAAAAAAGTCAGTCACAGCCATACCCTAAACCCAACAGGAAGTCCGCCATTTTGGATTGTTTGTTTGTCCAACCTGAGCTACCCCCTACTAAGGGATAAGTCACAGAGCGCTGAAATTTGGGTAGCATGTAGAATACACCTTGAAGGTTGTCGTGTCTGTCAAGTTTCTGTTCATGTCTGCACATTTTATGTCTCCTCTTTCCTGTTTTATTTTGAAATCACTTCACTGGTTGTTTCTGTTCCAGTTTTACTTCCTGCACCTGTCTTGTCACACCTGTTCCCTGATTAACTCCCCGCACCCTTTTCCCATCTCCCCTCATTACCTCGTGTATATTACCCTGCGTGTCTCACTGTCTCGTCGCCACTTCGTTGCACTTCACAGTCCTCGTACCAGCGTTACTCATAGTCAAGTCACAGCCTGTTTATTCTCAACCTTGTTTCTGCTTTTTGACCTTGCCTCTTGCCTGACGATTTTGGATACCTTTGCCTGTTGATCACGACCCTGATTCTGTTTTTGGATTTTGCCTTTGCCTGCTGATTTCCGGATATCTTTGCCTGAGAGACTGACCTCCTGTGTACCGAACCCTGCTTGTCATTAAACCTGCTTTTTTGCCCGAACCTATTCTGAGTCGAGCATTTGTGTCCACATGTTCTGTGAGTGAGTTCATGATGGAAGATAAAATGTTATCAAAATCATCTGCAAAGGTCAAAGGGCGCCACCTATTGGTAACAGGCTGTTTGAGGCATTACACTTACATGTGCCATTGCTCCAAACTTTGTGATATCATTCCTAAAATTGGTCAGCTAAGTCTTCCCACATTGACAATGCTACAGTGTGAAACTTTTGCGTTTTCAAGCAAGAGTGTTGCCATGGTGACGCATGGTTGCTATGACATGGAAAGGATTTTTTGACAGTTTTGGAATGCGCATGAACTCACCAAAATTGGCATACGAGTCACTATTGGTTCAACGACAGCCAATGTGTGCCTGTGTGCCAAAATGGCTCTATTGCGCCCCCTACAGCAATTTATTTATTAGCCCCCGCAGGACCTTTAACCGATGTTTACAAAATTTGGTAGGCATATGTAACACATCAGGACGCACAAAAAAGCCTCTTGGACCCATCCCGTAAACTCAACAGGAAGTCTGCCATTTTGAAACCCTGTACATACTCCTATCTGCCTCAAACTTTACATACTTGATCACAGTCCTGCCCTGATGAAACCCATATGCCAATATCCAATCACAATCACAGCGCCACCTGCTGGCAACAAGCAAGAACATGTTTTACACTTTCATGTGCTATCATTAGTCTGTCGACCATATTAACCTCAAATGCGATGACATGAGCTTTTACATGTTGATGATGACTCATAACAAAAATTGTGACTTTTCATCAAACCGCTCTGGCTGCAGCTTGCTCCTGCACTACTAAGGAGACACAATGAGGACTGAGGATTGAATGGAGTCAGATCTCCATCTACTGGACAAACAGAACAACAACAGCATTCTGCACAACTGTGACTGTGTGTGAGGTGCGAGGACCCATCCAATGCCACTTGCAGCTTTAATTTAATTTTGGCTTTATTTTCTCCACTAAATCCAAGGGAGTCATACATTAAGATTTCTTTATTTAGAAAGGTCATAGACCCAAATGATTTTTGAAGAATTCCTGGATTAGAGGAGTCATATTGACACGCGTCTCGTAAAATATCAAATATCTGATTTAGAAATGTTCCTCTGATGTGTTTTGTTAACAGTCTCAATCATGCAACTAAAATCACTTAATATCTTCAGACAACTACAGTTAAAACCAGAAGGTTACATACACTGTATAAAAAGATATAACCTTTTTTTTCTCACTGTCTGACATTAAATCAGACTAAACTTTTTCTGTTTTAGGTCAGTTAGGATTGCCAAAATTATGCATATTTGCTAAACACCAGAAAAATGAGAGAATTTTTTAGAGAATTCTTTTTATTACTTTCTTCAGAGTCAGAAGTTTACATACATTTCCTTAGTATCTGGTAGCATTGTCTTTAAACTGTATGACTTCCGTCAAATGTTTTGGGTATCTTTCCACAAGCTTCTCACAATAGTTTACTGGAATTCTGGCCCATTCCTCCTGACAGAACTGGTGGAACTGAGTCAGGTTTGTTGCTCCACACGCCTTTTCAGCTCTGCCCACAAATTTTCTACAGGATTGAGATCAGGGCTTTGAGATGATCACTCCAAAAAATCGACTTTGTTGTTCTTAAGTCACTTTGTAACTAATTTGGCGGTATTCCTCGGGCCATTGTCCATTTGGAAGACCCATTTGCACCAAAGCTTTAACTTCCTGACTGATGTCTTGAGATGTTGCTTCGATATTTTCACATGATGCTCTTTCAGCATGATGCCATCTATTTTGTGAAGCACACTAGTCCCTCCTGCAGCAAAACACCCCCACAACATGACGCTACCATGCCCCTACTTCACAGTTGGGATGGTGTTCTCAGGCTTGCAAGCTTCCCCCATTTACCTCCAAATATAACAATGGTCATTATGGCCAAACAGTTCAATTTTAGTTTCATCAGACCACAGGACATGTCTCCAGAAATGAAGGTCTTTGGTGTGCCTCCAATTAACTTAAATGTTCTCAATTAACCTATCAAAAGTTTCCAAAGGCATAGTAATCCTATTGTATGTAAACTTCTGACTTTGAAGAAAGTAATAAAAAAATCCCTCTCTCATTATTCTGGCATTTAGCAAATATAAATAATTTTGGCAACCCAAAAGACCTAAAACAGGAAAAGTCTAGTCTGATTTAACGTCAGTCAGTGAGAAAAACAAAGGTCATGTATTTTTTTTTATAGTGTATGTAAACTTCTGATTTCAACTGTAATTTTCATGTGTTCCCTCAGAAAGTACTTTCTTACAAAACCAGACGACCATGTAAATAATTCTTTACCATCTTATTTTTAATAAATAAATGAGTTGATTTGACAATGTAAAAATACATGAACACTTGGATGAAAACAGTTCGTCTTTGTACTTTGGAGCATAAATCATGGCCACCAACAAACATGTAAACTGAAATAGCCTCTCTGTTAACATACTGTAGGAAAATAATTGAAAACAATGTTAAAATATACAGAAAAATGTGGCTGTGCTACACATATTTACATTGCACATTATGAATCTTAAGTCAAGGATGTTTAGAGCATGGGATGTGCTCTCTTACAGGGACACTGCACTCTTCAAAGCCTTGCTTTTAGTGCAGATGAATGTTGAGTAGGCACATACCTTCGACATTCAGTGGTAACTAGTGCAGAGTTTTTCTTTCAATGTAGCATCAGTGAATACATTTTCATGAGTATCTGAACTACTTCTGCTGCCTAACATTGTATTTCATGATCAACATTCTTAGCTTTTTAGTGCAGAAAAGAGAGGTTTGTAAGCAGAATTACTGTAGTTTTCCAGTAACACTAGAGTGTGCAATCACACCTAAATTCACAGTAGGACAATGATCCGAATAAACTACAAGTTAAATACAGCAGATAGAAGGTTTTCACTTCAATCAGAAGCAGAATCTGTCATCTATAATAGCCTATATCAGAACAAGGTAAGTCATAAACAGGAACGTAAATTATTTGAAAGACAGAGGTGGTTTTTAAATTAAACACAGATGCTTCCTCTTCAAAAAACAAAAAATACTTAAAAAAGAATTGGAAACTATGCATTGAGTAGCTGAAACACAGATAGTATGTAAGAGATGGATGATGCGCTGGAGCCTATCCATAGACTGCATAAAAGATGGACGTAGCAACCGGCCCTAAAAAATGAAGCCAACCTGGAAGTGTCAAAAACCTGCAATATCACTACGTCCGCTAGTTGCTGGCTCCAAAAAGCCCTGGCTCCCATAGACATGAAGTGGAAAAGAAGTGATCACAGATCACAAAGTACCGCATTCCTGCAGCTCAGGATTTATTTCTTATTAGTTTTCATAGTCAAATCCAGAGATCAGGTGGCCAATCTGAAAATAAATCAATACTGAATTTTTAAAAAATCGTCAAAATTTTGCGGGGCAAGGGGCGTGGCTGGCTTGATTGACAGTCGGCAGCGACGATGCAGACAAAGCGAGCAGAAGGCGGTAAATGTGGCTGGGCAGAGAGGGCCTGCCTCTCAATCCCTCTGACCAATCGCTGCTCCTATGGTTCTGCCTCCCTCTGACGATTTTTGCGTCACTGGCTTCAAAAATCCAAGATGTCAACCAGGAAGTAGCAAAACCCTAGCTTCATTTTCTCAGTGCAGAAACCAATGGGTGACGTCACGGGAGCTACGTCCATCTTTTATACAGTCTATGAGCCTATCCCAGCCATCTTAGGGTGAAGGCAGGGGACACCCTGGACAGGTCGCCAGTCTATCGCAGGGCTACACTTAGAGAGTCCCAGTGGGGACGCGAACCGGCAACCTTCTTGCTGCGAGGCAGCAGTGCTACCAACTGCGCCACCTTGCAGCCCCAGGGTGACTCCTCTGGTTCCAAAAAGAAGTCAGATTTGTAGAAGTCTATGAGAAAACTTCTCACTTGATTTATTACCTCGGTAGATATTTGTCTAATGAGTTTATGGTCTCAGTCATTAGTTTCAAGTCTCTGTCAATACATTGTATAGCATTGTGTTAATTTTGTAGATTATGGTCCTATTTAGCATAACATAGATGATAAAGGATATGCTCATTATCCACAGTCAAAGCCATCCGTCACTCGATACGTCTGGTTTTAGAAAACCATAACAGTGACAGCCAAATACCAAACTCAAGGCTTTAAAACAGTAGTCTACAAACCAAGAGATGAGGTCACAGAAGCTCTGTCCATCTTTTCAATACAATCTAAGTTGAACTGTCAGATTTGGTCCATTTCTTCGAGGAGGCAAAAATGAGGTTCAACTTCAACATATAAATTATTTGCACTTGAAGTGACTTGAAAGAGGAAAAATATCTTTTAATTTCTGTACACTTTTAAGATGCATTAAGGCATCAAAACTGGAAGGATCACAAGTCTTTTGTGCTTCTAATCTAAACTGTAAAGCTTTTGAGCATCCTATCAATTAAGTTGCAGATACTGCCAAGCCTTCAAGATTTTTTTTCAAAAAGTCAAAGGGTTCAGTAAGGTTGGAATTCCCTAGACAGGATCTAAAACTACTCAAGTATGTTCTATCAAATACAGCATGAGCTATCTATCATTTGTAAATATATAACACTGGACGAAAGCAGAGACAGTTCAAGACCTGTCTTGAAATTGAGAAACTGTAATGGGAAAATGTAATGGATAACACACAGCGGACGACCTTTATGAGAGTCTGAAGCAGGCCTTTATCAGGAATCTCATGTCAAAATCTCCTCTAAAGCAGCAACAGAGTCTTAAATCAAGAAGAAAAGGAGGACATCTGGTCGAGCAGGAATGCGGTAAGACTTCTTGTGATGCCATTGGTGACTGCACAACTTACATGAAAACCTTCAGGTTTGCAATTTGGTCAGGTCATGTGACTGTTTTGCGTTCGGTGCGAGGGACCCATTTGTGTGTGGTGACTCTCCACAGCAGTGGAGCCAGCAGCAGACTGAGAGTAGTGACACTGAGGACCAGTAAGTACACCTGAGCAGACATAAAAAAAAAAATAAAAAAAAAGAAGAAGAAGATCTAGTTATGAGTTGTTGTTATTTTAAGTCAACTGGTTGAGTTCAATCACAAATATCTACAATATATCAGTTACTGTATCAATACTCACAGCAAAATCTTTCATATTGTCTATGTTTTGTCTGTTCGTTATGACAGAGTGGTGTTTGCAGGGGTCAGAATATTTAATTTAATCTTTTATGATATTGTCATAACAAACTATTGTGTGTATGGTTTTAAACTGTGGACTTTATTCCACAATGAAGAAGAGTTTAAAGAGTGAAATCATCCATCCATACAGATAGCTGAGGGTTAATTGGCCCATGTATTGAGCAATCTGTCCCTGAGAGTTTAATGTCTTCTACAATAGGAAAGAGATTTGTGCTGCTCACACCAATGAAAAACATCCATCCATCCATTATCTATACACTGTTTAAGCCTCACTTGGGTCGCGGGAGGAGGGGGCTGGAGTCTATCCCAGCTGACT